AAAGTAAAAATAAAAATTTAACTTTTATAAAAAAGATAAATATTATTACTTATATTACTACTATTACCTTATTGTCTATTAACCTGAATTTGAAGAATTTCAAAAGGAAAGATTATTAAAATTTTAAATAAATAAATAAATAAATAAATAAAAAGAAAAATAAGTATTTTAAATTTCAAAATTTTATTAAGTTTCGAATTCAAAAAAAAAGTTTCGAATTTTTATAAATTTAAAAATCAAATTTTGGTTTATCTATAATTTATGATAATAATAAATTGAACAGATACTTTTCAATCTGATGAATTGTAATTCGATTCATAAATATTGGAGAAAGGAAAAATTATGGAGATCTTTATATTTCAATTCATTTTCATCTCTTTTCGAGATGGTTTTCTTATGATTCGTGATTGCTACAAAAATCTTTTACAGGTTTATCCGTTCAACCTTATTCTTCGATGTTCTTTTTATTCCTCATCTTTCTAGAACAAGTAGTAAATCTTTCTCGAAAACCATCTTCTATGATCAAATCTGTAAATTCTATCATATATCTGTGTTTCTTTTTATTTTCGATCGATAAATTACTAAATACAATTACTCAATTGTTCGAATTTTCATATTGAAATTACAAAAATTTAGATGAAATTTAATTGTTCTTTTTATAAATTATTGATAATTAAGAATACTGACAGTTAGTTTTTTTTTGATATCTTTATTGTATATTTAATTTTCATATATAATATTTGAATATTCAAAATTTTCATAATTTTATATTTTGAATATTTTATTCTATTATATATTTTTTTTCTATATCACACATGTACGTTTTATACAAAATGTTAATATTTTCAATAATATTATAAAAAATTTCTAGAGATCAAAAAGTTGATATACAAAAATATTAATTGAGGCTTATTAAATTACAAGCAAATTAAATTTATATTAGATGAAGTGAGATTGGAATAGAGTACCACAGTGAATAATAGAGATAGAATAATTTGATTCTTTTCTGTATTTTATTTCATCTAATATAAATTTCAATTGTTTATGACTTAATAAATGAACTCTGATTTTGTATACTATGTTTTTATTTTATGTTTATTTTTGTATTTTATGTTTATTTTTATTTTTAAAATCGATTTTCTTGTATATTTGTAAAAATATTCTATTTTGTATATTTGTATCTTTAGATTTTACATAAATACATATTTTTTAGTCATTTTATTCTATTTCAAAAGATATTTTAGATTAAAATTATCATATAAATGCACTTTTAATAGGAATTAATATTATAGAATTTTATATTAGTTAGAACTATTAGATTTAAGTAAAAATATATTAGATTTATTCTACATTATTCTTTATTATTCTTTATTATTATTAAATCTTCATTATTAATAAAGCATTATTCCCTTCAAAAAACAATAATTTCAAAAATATACTGTTATAATTCATATTATTTTTTCTAAAATATAAAACTATCATATATAAGAAATTACAAATATATATATATATATTTATTATAAAAG